ACTCCTGGTCAGATGGATGGAATCTCTATAGACCACTGCGACCCCGCCTCCCCGTCCTCCGGATCTTGGTTGATGCTGTACGGAGAAACCTGGAGGACAAAGCTGGGTGAGGTTCACCCCCCCAGCTTCATCCAGCCAGGTCTCCGTAATGCACGCCAGATCTGCCCGCTCATCCAGGATTAGATCCTGGATAAAGGTCATTTTTCCGTTGACAGACCTGGCGTTCAACAGCACCACCTTCAATCCGGAGGGCCCGCCAACCTGGTTACACCAATTTACCTTAGGAGACCGGTTTGGGATTATTAATGTAGATAAGCGGTCCGAATTAAGCCGAATTTGAGGTCTCCTTTTTCCGCATCTCCCCCTCCCCACCACGACCTCTATGGGGGCCCCCCGGCCAATGGAGCACCCCCCTCCTCCATGCCGAAGGCATGACCTATGCTTCAAAGTCATTGAAAAGTCATTCATAACACAAAGATGGACCCAGCAGTGGTCCCTCCTCCTCCTCGACTTGCATTGCTTTGGGGGGCCTGTTCTGGAAGGCGGGCTGCATCTTGGGGTGGCTTTGGCTCCCATTCATTGCAAAGAGGGGCTTCCTTGGGGATAAAGGGGGGGGGAGGAATTCAGAGAATGTTAGTTGGAGAGGAAGACTTGCTAGTGAGAAGGCCCCTCCTCCTCCTCCTCCAAGGGGAGTCCTCCTTGCCCCTTGGGGGTCCCAATGCTGCCCTGTTTCTCCTGAGGCACCAAAGACCCTCCTTTGAAAAATGGTGCTACAAATCCTGCCCCTCCCCCTTCTTCCCAGAGCTAGCAAGCCTATTTTTGCAGCTGCAACCTTGATCATGATTTCTCTCTGTGCCTCTGTCAATAAAGAGATCGATGCTTTCTCCTTCCTTGTCTCAAACTTTGTGCCTCCCCCTTCAATCTGGGGCTTCCCAAAGGGATAGTTGGCTCTTGGGCATCAAGGCTCAGGGGTTCAAATACATGACCCTTGGGGTCCCTCCCGGCCAGGGCTTGCCAACACCACGTTCTTGAGTCCCAGAATAATCAGAGATGGAAGGGAAGAAGTGAAGTTGTGGTGGTTCTGCCTGGAAACAGATGACACTGCGGACAGAAAGCAAATTCTCATTGGCCCCTCCAGGGTGTTTTGTTCAGAATCAGAATGGTAGAGAAGAAGTTGAGCCTTTACTACTTGGAGATTGATGATGCACCAAAGGAGGGCAAAATCTCATTGGTGGATCCTGGCTGGTGAGAAAGGGGTGAGTGCCCTCTTGTGGGAAGAGAGGGAGGGAGTCCTGGAGCAAGGAAAAGTGAAAGACTTTCCAAGAGAGACCTCTCAGCCTGTGCTCCAAGGCAATGCACCCACACTGAGACCCGGGTCCGAAATGCCTGGGTCAGAAGTGTTCCAGAGTTTGGAACTCCTGCATCCTCCAAATGAGATCCTTGAGAGAAGGACACACTCCTTTACGTGTCATAGGCACCTCATCATATCCAAGGCCTGTAGGGAGTTTTAAATTGATCCAGTGGGGGACACAAAAGGGCAGGGTGGTCCCTACCAGCCATACTTTTGGATTGTGGCATTTTTGAGGACTCTTGAGTCAAGGCTACTCCACCAGAGTTGGAGTAATTTTCAGTGTGGTGCAAATCTTGACCACCAGAAAGCCACTTGGGAGGACAATAGTGAGTTTTGGTGCAGCTTGGATTTCCCAATTCCGGATAAGGAATGCTGAACTGGTAAATGGTCTGGCTTCCCTTGGGCTCCTCTGGCTGGACCGGGCTCCTGAGCTTGGTTCTGTTTCCTACAAAGGGCCTGAAATGAAGGACCTGGGTCCACAATCGGCTAAGTTGGAAGGGGTATTCCTCTTGAAGGATGTTTCCTGTTTTGGTAGTTTGAGGCTGAGGGAAGGGAGATCTGAAGGGGCTTGGAAGACCCAGAGCACAGCTGCTCCTCATAGCTGAGCTGGATATTTGGATCCAATCCTAGATTTTGTAATTTTAGGTGCCTCCACATCACGCATGGGCAAACTAAGGCCCGGAGGCTGGATACGGCCCTCTGGGTGCTTACCACATACCCTCCTTATTTTCCCTCTCCTCTCAACAAGGACACGGTGACCCACCACATCCTTATGCAGAAAGGATAGGGGAGGAAGGCACGCAGCTCCTGAGAGCCCTCTGGAGTGCTCTCAGCCACCGCATGTCTCACCCTCCTCCCGGCATAAAGATGGTGCAAGAGGCCCTGTCTTTATGGTGAGAGGACAGCCCGAGGAAGGAACAGCTAAGAGCCTTCCAGAGCACTCTTGGCCATTGCATGTTTTGCCATCTTCTTGGTCCTGAGAGGACAGCCTGAAGAAGAGGACGAGGATCAGGAAGAAGGATCTGGGAAGTTGCCGCATTTCTCATTTTCCTTCTGGCATAAGGATGGGGAGAGCAGCCCCATCCTTATGCCAGGAGGACAACCTGAAAATGACTCAGGCCCTGCCTTGCCCACTGCCAGCCTCACCCTCTCACAGGCCCTTTCCTTCCTGGGCCAATCCCACCCAGCGCATGCCCGGCTGCCCTCCCTCCCAGCAGAGCATTCTCAGCCAGGCCCACAATGTGGTCCAAAAGCAAAAAAGTTTGCTCTACATTGTCAAATTATTGGAGTTTCACATCACTTTCATGATCATGGCTCATTGCAATTGATACCTGGG